GCCAAACTAGCAAGGAGTTATGTAAGTATGCCAAATGTTGTAGACCTAAGAGAAGTAAAAGCACAATTTTTTTTATCGCAGGATTTCCAAATGTAATTGGTTGTGTAGATGGATCACACATACATATTCAATCTCCTGGAGGTAAGCAAGCAGAATTATTTAGAAATAGAAAAGTTTTTTTTTCTATTAATGAAAAAGTTGTGTGTGATGCAAAGTTGCAAATTCGTGACATAGATGCCCGCTGGCATGGATCAACACATGACAGTACAGTTTTTAATAACTCATTCCTCCGAGCACGCCTGAATAACAACGAGATAGATGTTCACCTCCTTAGAGATAGTGCACATCCTTGTGGACGCTACATGATGACACCATTTTTAAACCCAGCTACAAATACAGAAAAACTCTACAATGAAGCACAAATCAAGACCAGAAATACAGTTGAAAGGACATTTGGTGTGTGGAAAAGAAGATTTCTATGCCTTTCTCAAAAATTAAGGTTAAAATTGGATCATACGTTTGGGGGGGAAATTTTTTTTTTTTTTTTTTTTTGGGGGGGGGGGGGGGGGGGGGGCGGGGGGGTTGGTGTGGAAAAAAAAAAGAAGGGGGGGGGAGAAGGGGAGTTGGTTTTTTTTTTTTTATTTTTTTTTGTGAAGTAATTTTTGTTTTGTTTTTTTTTTTTTTTTTGGTACGGTGGGGGGGGGGAGGAAGGGGGGGGGGGGGGGGGGTTCAGAAGAGAAAGGGAGGGGGGGGTGTTGGTGTTGGGGGAGGGGGGGGGGGGCGCTTAGGAACAGGCTCGTCGGTTCGAAGAGCAGCTGAAGCGCGGACAGGAGGAACAGGCCAGTCAGTTGAAAGAGCAGCAGGAGGAACAGGCCCGCCGACACGAGGAACAGGCCCGCCGACAGGAGGAACAGATGCTCCTCATGAAGGACCTTCACGCTACCTTCGGGAAGGAGATAAAGGAGGTGAAGGATAGGGTTGCTCACCATGACAACCGCCTGTCGGAAGCTGAAAACCGAATCGAGAAAGCTGAAACCCGAATCGACCAAGTAAACAATCGGGTTGACAACGTAATGGCTGACATGAAGAAATCACTGGACGAACTCAAACTTGGAGATGGAGCTACAGCTCCCGTAGTAGCTACAACACCTTCGCTACGTGGGTTCAAGGTGCCACCGTTCGACGGTACCTCTTCCTGGTCAGCCTACAAAATCCAGTTCGAGGCTGTTATGAAGGCGAACGGCTGGAATAAAAGTCAGGCCATGACTGCTCTCACACTAGGCCTGCGCGACCAGGCCTTAACAGTTCTGGAAGCTCTCGGTGAGGAAGTGACTTATGAGCAACTCCTTGAGGCATTGGAGGCGAGATATGGCGACGCTCACCTGGAACACGTCTTTCGTGCGCAGCTTAAAGATCTTGTGCAGCGCATCAACGAAAACCTGCAGCAGTGGGCTCTAGAGGTGGAGAAGCTGGTGCGAAAAGCTTACCGGTCTGTACCTGCGCTCATTGAAGGGAACCTGGTGCAGACATTCATCGACGGCATCCGCGACCTGGAAGTCAGAGCTGCTGTGAGGCTCGGGCACCACGAGACGCTTAAGGACGCCTTGGCCCATGCACTGGAGGTAGAAGCCGTGCGGCAGGATCATCGTTCCCATCGCGTCAGGGAGGTTGTAGCCGCTACAGTTCGCGACCGCAACAAAGGATACAGCCCAAGGTGCTATGGCTGTGGGGAAAAGAGCCATCTTCGATCCAGCTGCCCTAAGCTAACCGTGGAAAGGAGAGTTGATCGATCTCGAGAGGGTAGTACAGCTAACGGCACTGCCTGGCGGCGACAGGATCATCGTTCACCTCACGCTAGGGAGGTTACAGCAGTTACGGTTCGCGACCACAATAAAAGATACAGCCCTAGGTGCTATGGCTGTGGGGAAAGGGGCCATCTTCGGTCCAGCTGCCCTAAGCACACCCTAGGAAGGGAAGGTGAACGGTCTCAGAAAGGAAGTGCGGCTAACAACACCGCCCAGCAGCAGCAGGAATACGACTTTACTATCAGACACTGCAGCGGGAAATCTCACGGCAACGCAGATGCATTGACAAGAAGACCTTGTCCTGAAGATTGCAACCATTGTAGTAGGCAAGAGAGTAAGGAAGTGGTATCCGTGAGGATGCTCAGGACAGACCACCTCAGCAACGGGTGGAAGGACAGCCTACGACATGCACAGCAGGAAGATCCGGACATCAAGCCGATCCTGGAATGGATGAAGGCCAGTGCTCCCAAGCCCAAGTGGAGCGACGTCTCAGCGATGAGTTCGACCACTAAAAGCTATTGGGCCCAGTGGGACAGCTTGCAGCTTCAGGATGGAGTTCTGTGCCGTAAATGGGAAAATGTTCGGGGAGACAGCTGTCATTTACAAATGGTTGTCCCTAAAGCTAAAGTACCGGATGTTCTACAGCTGTACCATAATGATTATTCAGGAGGCCATCTGGGAGTTAAACGAACTCTGCTGAAGATCCGAGAACGGTTTTACTGGGTCCACTGTCGAAGCGATGTCGAGGACTGGTGTCGCAAATGTACAAGTTGTGCGGCTGTAAAGGGACCTCAGACTCGTAGTAGAGGTGCATTGAAGTTGTACAATGTTGGTGCACCATGGGAGAGGGGGGGGTGAAAGCGGTAACAAGTATTTCATGGTTGTGATGGATTACTTCACTAAGTGGCCAGAAGTCTTCGCCATTCCAAATCAAGAAGCTTCAACAGTTGCTGATAAACTAGTTCATGAAGTCTTCTGTCGTTTTGGTGTACCTTTAGAGATTCACAGCGATCAAGGAAGGAATTTTGAGTCTCAAATATTCCAGGAAACTTGCCGAGTTATGGGTACTCATAAAACAAGAACGACTTCTTATCACCCGCAATCTGATGGAATGGTGGAACGATTTAATCAGACATTGGAGAGGTACCTAGCAAAAGTTGTAGACAATCGGCAACGAGATTGGGACAAGCACATACAACCGTTTTTGTTGTCATATCGAAGTTCTGTTCACAGAAAGTACAGCAGTGACACCAGCTTTCGCAAACTTTGGAAGAGAATTACGGCTGCCTGCAGACCTGATCACCGGGACACCACCTGATGCTCCACGCAGTATAACCGATTATGCAAAGGACTTGCGGAAAAAAATTAATGACGTTTATGAGCACGTCAGACAATCGGGCCAGCAAATGTCTGAAAAGATGAAAACCCGGTATGACCGCAAAATGAACAACAAAGGGTTCGACGAAGGTTCACTTGTGTGGTTGCACAATCCAGTCCCCAGCAAAGGGAAATCTCCTAAGCTTCAAGCTAAATGGGACGGCCCGTACCGGATTGTGACCAGGATCAACGATGTAACCTACCGGATACAGAAAGGCGCAAGAGGGACTCCTAAGATCGTCCATGTGGATCGCCTAGCGCGTTATTATGGGGCCGATAATGCTCGGGACGAGCATGTCTTAGGAGGGGACAGTGTTACGCGCTCAAATCGACAATACACTAGCGCCATCTAGTGTCAGGAACGAGAGCGAGGGGAGCATTGAGAAAATGACATCACAAATTACAATACCGACAGCGCCTAGTCGAAACTCGAACGCTCGGTACCTTGCGCGTGTTTACTTGAACATTCTGGATATTTCTTTGCTAATTTAAATATATAGGCGCTGCAAGATGCGATCGAGGCAGTGTTGATTTGGCGAGAAAAGCGAAGCTTCGGAGCGGAATAAAGTGAATTAGTGTGTTTAATTATTAGTGTTTTTAACTTTAATTTGTGTAAAGTAAATTAAAGTGTTAATTTAGGTAATTTTATCGGCAATTTTTATTGTCACGAACCTCAAGCTCGTAACAATATTACAGAATCAATTGAACAACCTCTTCCCTGTGAAGGAAACCATTTTCGTCGTTTATTGGTGGAACAATATTTTAGGTTGGTAAATTTTTTCTTTTGTTAATATTTCTAAAGCTCAATTTACACAATGTTGAATGTAATAAAGCAACAGAAAAAGCAAAGGAGCATATGGTCCACCCGATGGTAAGTGGATGCAGGGGCCCCTAGACTACATATATCCTCTATTAGGAATCAAAATGCAGATGCATTGTCACCGTTGAGGAGTAAGATGGAATGCCTAAAGGGTCTCCGCTTTATTTCAGAGCAATTTCGCAATGCTCACCAAACGAAACAGCGTATATAGTTTAATCAGGAACATATTTAGCTGTTAATTCAAACTAGTATTCGGTGAGGGCATGTCTTTCCACAGTTGAACTGACCTATTCATGCTATAATTATAATATATCTGCAGCATTGCTACCATGCATCAATAATGTATTATGTTAATAAAAACAAATTTGTGTACGTATATTTTATTTGTATTTCTAGTAAAAATATAGTGAATATAATATATAAACAAGAATTTAATAAATAAAAACTATAACAAAATACTAATATAAAACTAAATGAATTTATTATACTTTGGCCATGTAAAAATATAGAGAATAGAATTTATAAACAAAAGTTTTAATTGATAAAAACCAAAACATTCAAATATTGAAGATTCAACATCAATATCAAATTATCAAATAACAAAAACAAAAAATTTACAGTATTTTGATATAGAGTTAAAGAAAATCTTTTACAAAGTGCAAAAATGGACTTACGATTTAATATAAGAATTTTAATTTATTATATGTTGGCAATTATTAATTAAAATTCTTCTTTTTAATTCTAAGTCCATTTTTGAATTTTCTAAAAGATTGTTTTTTAATTCTAAGTCCGTTTTTGAATTTTCTAATAGATTCCGCTTTAACTCAATATCAAGATCCGGTAAATTTTTGTTTTTTTCTAATTTCATATGTTCATTTTGAAGTTGAACCTCCAATATTTCTAATTTTTTCGTTGTTATGGTATCTTCATTCATTTGCTTCTGGTGTTTTCTTTTTATTATTGAAGCACTGATGCTATTTATATTTTTCTTATTTGTTTCAGTTAAACAAATCTTTTTTTTTCGGTGTGATGTCAGATACCAGAAGAGGTGAAATCCTTCTTTTGGAACCTTTAACTTGTTGAAGTTGATGCACAGAATCTTCTTTTGCACCCAATACTTCTTGAGAAGAATCTTGCGTGTCGTTTAGCTGTTGTGTTTCAACAATATCTGTATTGAATAAATTACAAAAATCAGTCACTATTGAGTTATGTGTAATTTTAGTGTATTTTTATTATTTTAAAAAAATAGTCCCGCTGGGTTTCCTTGCCAATTCTTCCCAGGACAGAGGTGTTTTTTTGCGAACCAGTGGTAAATGAAAAAAGTGTCTTTTAATAAGTATTATTTATAATCTGTATTGAATAAATAAGTTTCTATTTCTATTTCTGTAGCTGATGATTGTACAGATAAATCTATATTCAGAAATTGGTGCATGGGTACTTAAACCACATTAAATAAATGATTATTTAATTATATTTTGTTTCATTATCTTTATTCTATTTCATATTAAATTATTAGTAAGTTTGATTAGATTTAAACTAATTTTTCCCTGTAAATTTACATTGATAATTTTAATTGCTCAGGTTATGTATAGCCCTATGCTGAAATAGTGGATATAAGAATTTAACCAAAACATCAGGTAAAAGCATGCTCAATAAATGCTAAATTCTAATGTAATATGATGTTAGAAAAACACTAAACTTACATACCTATGATGTAATATGGTGCTGATGAGTCAAAATCATTAGATAATGGTTTAAATTGTGGAGGTAATAAGGCCACAACCTTTTCATCGACTGCAGTTGTCTTAGGGCAAAATGTTCCACCTCCTGTCTTGTACAACTCGGACTGAAATTAAAATTTAAGGTTCTACATTACATACTTGTCGGATACCATTGCGTAACTTTATATGAGAATAAATTATTATTGTAAATACTCCAAGGCAATAACTGTGCCCATGAAATAGCTCGTAGAATATAATGATGTATATTATTAGTACACTACAAAGTAATACTACAGCTTGTACAATAAAGTTCCTTCGCACTTTGTATAATAAAAAAGTTTATTAGTTCAAACAAAAATAAGCAGGATATGACCTACCTTATCATCGCTTATATTTTTTCTAGTTTTTTTTTTTAAATTGTCATATAACGCATGCAATTGTTTTTCTGTTCTGATTCCCGTTTCAGAAAGAGCATTATATTTATTTGTCAACGCCATCCAAGCTTGCTTCTTGGCCTCAATAGTAGTCCCGTCCGTCTTTTTGTTGTCAATTGTAGCCACAAATTCTTTCGCTACTTCAATTAGAAGCATCTTCTCTCTTTCCGTAAAATTTCTACTACGTTTGCCAGACTCCATAATGTTTATTTTAAAAGATAAAACCACTAAACTTAAAATCGGAAAGAGAAAAAACAAACCACGCGGAAAATAAAAGCAATGAGTATGATGTTTTCTTTTTAAACAATTTGACAGTACAATGATGTCATCCATAGAGTCTCCGATAAATATTGAATTATCAGTATAGTAAAACAGTGCATATTCACTTATTTAGCCCCAAAAAATAACATTTTATGAATAATACTAGTATAAATGAAGAATTGAAATAAAAAAACCAATTTTAGACTCGATGTCTTCGATGAGTCGAAAAAGACCCATCTAATGGCAAATTATGGAAGTTGTTATTAGTTTCATAGTTGTTGAACGGTTGGTTTGGTATTCAGAAACGCAATGACAGTTAACCGACTGATATCTTATAGATAACTTTATTGAATCAATAGCTAATGGGAATATAACTGGGAACTTCAGAAACCGGGCATAAGTCATTTGATTTTTCTGCGGCATGCTTTATGCTATGCTAAATTCATATGTAATACCCAATAGCAAACATTTGCAGCAGTAAGCCGAAAATAAATAACTTTCTAAGAAACCTAAGCCTTCAATTAGTATAACCCTACGTGAAACGCCGCTTTGATGAGGTTAAAAATTCGCCCCAATCTCTTAAAGTGATAATGCTTCATGTTTTGGGAGTAGCTGGGGAAAACAATACTCAGATAGCCCAAGCTCGATCAACTTCAAGTTCCCGCTGTTATTTATGCACTAGAGCCAAAGATAGGAAGGGCAGAGAGAAATGTGTTAAGTGCTCCAAAAATATCTGTGCACAACATAGATTACCTATTTGTTACCAATGTATCTAGATTTTAAGATTTTTACTACTTTTTCTTCCTTAAACATTCCAGTAATATCCAAAAAACTTGTGATAATTGTTTAACTTAATGTAAATTAATTGTTTATTAAAGTTCGATATTTTGTAAGTAATCATGTTTTTATTTGGGGTTACCCATGACCCACGTTGTGGTTCATTTAACTAAATTTGGACGTTATAGTTGTAGGGTTAATAAATGATAATGATTATTATAATATCCAAAATTATTTTATTCCCAATTAAGTGACAACCCCTAACATACACGCCGCCCGGATAAATCACTATGCGGGTGCTTCTATCGTGTGATGAAAAGCATACACCTATTTTTTTTCTCAGACATGTCAGATAAATTAGTATATAATATACTTATTTAACAATCGTAAAATCTTTCTTTCTTTTAATTATAATGATGTAATATAGCACAGGGTAATTAGTACCTTATAATATGTATTTCAAGAAAACCTTAATTTTTTTTCGTAAGATTAAAGTGGTTAAATGTTATCTCAAACTCAATGTGACTTTAAAGCAACCGAAACTGTAACTTTGGCCATGTACTTTATTTTATTTTTTTATTTGAAGTGACAAACGAACTTACAGTGTACCTGACGGTAAGTGGCTGCTGTAGCCCATGGACACCTGCAAGCAACTTCAAACAAAGAACGCTACATAAGAGTTGTAACCTTTGACGGCTAAAGAGGAATGCCTCACAACCTCTATATATTTATATATATATATACCCTTCAGACTGGAACATAGCTGTGTTAGCTGCATTTTGGCGGCAAAATGTTCTCTGTATTTTTTATCCCTAGTGGCAAATTTCAACGCTCATACACACTATTTCCTAAATAGAAACAGAAAATATCCCAAAAGTAGTCCAATGTTACTCGAATTGATTGTAATATTTTGATACAAAATTATTAAACTAAACGATATACACAAGAAGGTTTCGATAACTGCTAATCGGGTTTCGTCTTGCCTGCACCTTCGTAGAGACCGCTTGCACGCATATTTGCGAACATGTCTTCTGACTTATTGTCGAACATTTCCGATGACCTGTTGTCGAACATGTCCACGATCGGGTCAGCCAGGGACACGATTGCGCTCGGGAACCAACCCCGCGGCCCGCGCCCTTCTTCGACCATTTTCTCGCCAAACAACCAGTGCCTGAAGTAAAAATTTTTTTTTGGTATAGCATATGACTTTTTTTATAGAATAAGGGTGAAAAGCGAACACACAGCCCATCTGATGGTAAGTGGATGCTGTGTCCCATAAAGATCTAAATCTATACTCAATCAAAAATCATAATTCTTATGCATTGTCACCTCTGACGACTAAGATGAGAATGCCTCGTATCCAGTAAAAAGAGTCTCCGATTCTCTACACTCACTATGCGAAACACAGCAACACTGAGCTATTTTCTTACGCTGGTATTCACTACGAGCGTGGTCCTGGCCACCGACCGACCGACCTGTGAGCTGACCCATTCGTGCAACAACCACAAAATGTTGAATAACTAAGTGGTTTTGCTAACACGAAAAGAAAAGACAAATATACTCAACTTCTTTTTGTTCTTTGCTTATAAGTCGAAATACAATTACATGCTTTAATGTCTCGCTCTCTTTTCCACCATCGGACAACCGGGTATAAAAATGAGGAACTCAATCCGGTTGTACAAGTTCTAGTTATCACTCTCACTAATCCTTCGTTCGTTAATCAGTACTGTCTACAAGTGAATATGGTTTTTGGAGAATATTCGATCAACTGCGGAGTAAAATAAATAAAAATAAAATAGATTATAGGGTAGTGGGGTCATGCAAATAGACCCATGAATTCAGTTACTGGCATTGGTTTCGATTTTACAGACAGATATCTCAATTTTATTTATATTTAATCCGATTTAATGAAAAAAAAGTTTTATTACAACTTGTACGTATAACAGTGAGTTTGCACTGACGAGATTTTCACAAAAAACATTGTTTTCTGTTCGTTTTAAAAACTGTTTTCTGTCAATGTATCAAAAAACGTTTGCATAGTCAAAGAACATGTTGTAGTGAAATATGTTTGACAATTTATACACATGCATCAACTTTATTATATCTTTATTACTACAGAAACAAAATGTTTGAAAACAAATTTATACAAATATTGTCATGTTGAAAGATAATTTTGAATATCTGTTGAAAATTTTACAGTTTTTGTGAGTGCGAACGACACTATTAACAAAACATGTTGTGTGATTTATTTTATGCGATATATTTCAAAACATTACGTGTTGGATGTTTCTCAGTGCAAACGTACTGTAATAATAGCGCATATTTATATATATATATATATATTTTTTTTTAAATATGCGCTACATATGGGTGACAGACGTGAGTGTTTATGTTATATATATATATATATATATATATATATATATATTTTTTTTATATATATATATATTATTTTTTTTTTTTTAACATAACATAACATAAACACTCACGCCTGTCACCCAGAGGGGTAGACAGAGACTTCTCTCTGCCTCCTCCACATTCATATACCTACGCATACATGCTCGTCGGTTAAGGGTACTCCTAATTTGGCCCCTTTACAATATATCTCCAATTTGGTCGTTAAACTTTCGCCTAGGACGTCCCCCATTCACTTCTGCATAGCGTTTTTAAAATCCAAACATCCAATTAACTACTGTTATATTTTTAAAAGTGTAATTAATTAGACATAGATTTATAACAATTAAACAAAACTTATCATAGTTTATCAATTGACTTATTAGACTACATATAATTTGGATAGACATAATTGTTAATCTACTGTAATTTATTGTGATTGACATATTTATGTAACTCTTTATCTTTATATACAGGAAAGCCAAAAAGTCGTGGATCCAACGAAATAGGGAGATACATGAAGTCATTTTCAACAAAAAATCTCTCTACAGCATGGCCATATTTCATTTACCCTAAAAGTTATGAATATTTTTATTTCCTTTAAAAATACCGAGTTCTTTCATAATTAGATTAATAAAAAAAGTGATACAAAACAAAACAAACGGTGTTGTATTATTACTAGATAATGTCATTATCTACATACATTATCTGTTCGCTGTCCTTTAAGGCGGAGCGCTGTCGTGTTGCAGCCACATTTCTGCCATCCTATCTTCTGGAACCTCAACTTCGTTGAGTATTTGGTTCAAATTATTTTTTTATAATTTAAATAAAAAACACCATTTAGCCTTGCTGGCATTTTGTGCAGCACCAACTACTGGCCAATTATGTCAGCCCACGGGTTTATACCAAACAGATGCTGGAATCGATCATTTCTGATGATATGAGAACTTACTCTGGAGCAGAAGTGTAAATTATCAATATTAAATATTCCCATCCTTCTGAAATTTAACTTATACGTCCATGACACTTTTTTGAAGAACTGCGGATACCCTCTGTGTCATCTTAGCATCTCTCTGCAAAATCACATTCTAGGTTCGTAGTTAGCGGGCAGCAAAGCTTGCACCCTTTGCATGTGGTAAGCGTGGAATCAATTTCACACACCGTCGATTATATTTGGGGTTTGCTATTACCAGGGTATATTCTTTACTCTCTCAGTACTTGATCTTCATACTTAAATCGTACCACTGGTCTCCTTACTCTCAGAACACGCTGGACCGGGTTAGAATCCGGTGATGTACGCTTTATGTACGCGCATAAAGTCCCTGTAGTAGGGATGAAGGTCACGGTTAGAGTGGCGTTGTCGATATTCCCTGGCGGCAGCCCAACCGTTGCCGTCGAAAAAACCATAAAGATAATAACACATTTCTGCATACTCCCATTGGGTATATTCTCTCCTCAGCAGCCATCTATCCGCTTATCTAGCCAATCTGTAGCGATCACAAAGTCCGATTCACACAGCGCAGTCACAGGTAAGCAATCTATCACAAGTCTAAAAAACGAAGCGTGGGTCACAGGTAAGTAAGAACACAAAAAAATACGGAGCAAAGAGATTTTAGTGAGAAAAAAATTTTGGTAACGATTCAAATTTTTTGAAAAAAGTTAATTGCTCTTTAAATGAAGAAAGAATGATATCCAGAGCCGCAATAGAACTTTTGTAGTGCTGA